TGCATTTTCGCTAGGTACAGGGGACGCTTGCAAGGGAAGTGACAGTTCAGACAGTTCAGACTGGATGAGGGGACGGAGGAACTTGTGAATTACAGTAGTATATGGCGCCAGCTCTGAGATGTAGAGGTTCCCCCCCCCTCCCTCCCACCTCCTGCTCAGTCGCCTCTTGGATGTCAGGGTAATCAATGTTGGCAGGGCCTTTCCACAATGACTCTTTTCTGATGTGCTGCAAAGTTATCTGTTTACGGGACGCTGGGCCCGGTTCCCAGCAGGTGATGCTCCCCACCAATAGATGGAGCCTCTCCCCAGGTTTAAAAAAAAAAAAAAAAAAAACAAAAAAAAACAAAAAACGTTTTATAGCTACAAAAAACGATTGGACAATGGCTTTGTGCGTTGCAAGCACGGACTGACGGGTAGGCAAAAAACGAAAAATAAGACGGTCGCCATGCTTGCCAGCACTAAAACATTCATAGACAGTCACGCAGACAACATGTCGAATGAGGTGGCCCATCAAGACGACGTTTACAGACCGAAATTTCGACTGCCAGCTGCTTTTACAAAGTGTTCCATTTATGAGTCCATCAAATCAGACTTCGTGGCTGTCGGCCTCAAAGTCGTGTCTGAATCCAACTTTTATAAATTGTGGCAGACACATTTTTTTCACGTTTCACTCGCACACTCAAAGACATTCACAAAGTGTGTCGTCTGTCATGTACTGAAAGAACGTATACACTACGCTGCTCTTCCTCGAGCTCGCGAACGAGCGCAGGAGGAGATGGAAGCTCACCAAAGACGGCAAGTTGAACACAGACTGGACTACAGTCGGGGAAAAACTGATTCCATGGTCCGCCCGAACGACCGTTTGTGTCTCATCACTGACGGCATGGATCAGAAAAAAAACGACTATCCCCCATATTGGCCAAGCAAACTACTCGAAAGCACTTAGGCAAGAGATGATGATGAAGACGAATCTGACAGGTGTCATTGCACATGGTAGAGACCCGAGTATTTATGTATACACGTGGTTTTCGTATTTCAAACATGATTCGAATACAGTCGCTACTTGTCTCATGAGAACCCTTGTCGAAATTCAAGGGAGCGGGACGCCACTACCACCGTTTTTGCGCATTCAAGCAGATAATTGTTGGCGGGAAAACAAGAACAAGTACATATGTGTGCTAGCTGCACTCTTTGTTAACTTTAAAGTTTTCCAAGAGGTAGAAATAGGTTTCATGCTGGTGGGACATACCCATACAGACGTGGACGCTACATTCAGCATTTTCTTAAAGAAATTGAAAGACACAGATGCTTATACTATGGACGAGTTCTACGAGCTCATAGAGCAATCCCACAAAAAGCCTCCCAAATGTATTTTCCTCGATACACTGGCTGATTGGATAAGTATAGTAGACCCGTGCGTTGTGTCCGACATTACTGGTATTTCAAAACCGCACTTGCTTAAATTTTTTATGGTTGGAGACAATCCGGACATGTTGTACAAGGAGTTCTGTGAGGACGAAAACTGGTTGCCCAACGAAGGTCCGATTTATTGGTTTAATCAAAACCCCGATGAAAGCTATGCAGGTCCATCGTGTCCATTTGACCCGCCTCCTGTGCAAACCCTTCCTCAAAATGACTATTGTAACGGCAGAAATGGGGTTATTCGATTCCACGAGTTGCTCGAGAGCAGGCGGTCAACATGGTGCACTTACAACGACAATGAGGTGAGCAGGAGAGAAAGAACTTTGTGTTACTGGGAGGATGTTATCAAACATGGCGACGAGATCATCGCCAACAGGTTGTCCTCACAATCTCTATACAGTTTTTAGCTAAGACCACGACTGCTCGGAATCGATCAACAACCTTCTGCCAGTTCCAACATTGGTGGAGAAAAGGTTAACAACAGTCGTATTTTTCATCACCACTTCAGGACACCCTTCATCACTTTAGGATGCAGTCTGCCTAAACAGGTGGTTTTCAGGGTCTTCGGTTGTGCAACCGGTTGAACGCTGTGAACGCGCGTTTACATTCAAACGCGCGCGTTCAATCCCCCGTGCCCCGCGTTCAATCGCGTTTAAACGCGCTGCACGCGCGCGCACACGAAAAAATTGAATGCGGTCCCGCGGGGCCCGCGCGCGCGACTGGGGCTGCGGGTTGGTGGTCCGAGTTCAACAAACCGCCAAAGTGCGAAAACCGCCCCCCGGGACCACCAC